AAAGCCCCAGTAGATAGTTGTATGTCATAGCTGCACATCCTTCTAGTTGCTGTATGTGGGACGCGGCCTCAGCATGGCTGGAGAAGCGGTGCGTCGGGGCGCGCCCAGGATCTGAACCCGGGCCGCCAGCAGCAGAGCACGTGCACTTAACCGCTAAGCCACGGGGCCGGCCCTCTACTGATTCACTTTAAATTGCCTACCTGGAAACACACTTTTTTGGACATGAAGTCTCTACTGAACTGCATAAAGCACTTTATAAATATTTACTGAAGTAAAGAAACCAAGTTAATAATAGCATCCAAGTAGGATGCTACTTTCAGGAGCTGGGAAATGTAATAGCCTTTAAAGGTACAAAAGAGATATGGTAGATATGTTTGAGACACAAATTTGGTCAGGTTTAACTTCACTTATAAGAACTAAAAATCCAACAAGCTCTTTTTTTTTTTTTTTTTTGAGGAAGATTAGCCCTGAGCTAACATCTGTTGCTAATCCTCCTCTTTTTTGCTGAGGATTGGCCCTGGGCTAACATCCGTGCCCATCTTCCTCTACTTTATATGGGACGCTGCCACAGCATGGCTTGATAAGCGCTGCATAGGTCCACACCTGGGATCTGAAACTGGGAACCCCAGGCTGCTGAAGTGGAGCGTACAAACTTGACCGCTAGGCCACTGGGCCAGCCCCAATCTTCTTTTTGCTGAGGAAGATTTTCCCTGAGCTAACATCCATTGCCAATCTTCCTCTGTTTAGTATGTGGGTCGCCCCCAAAGCATGGCCACTGACAGACGAGTGGTGTACATCTGTGCCCGGAACTGAACTCGGGCCACTGAAGTGTGGAACTTAACCATCAGGCCACCGGAGCTGGCTCTCTTATATCTTTTTGAAATAGGAAGGTTTTCTCTATTTCACAATGCTTCTGACGCCTCCCCTGCCCTTTTGCATAGTGTGAGCCCACTGATATACACAAAAAGTAGTTTTAGAAAGGTCACGGATTGGGAAATTATAAGGCATCAGCAATAAAAGCAGAGACAGGCCTACTTGATGAACAATAGACTTCTAGACCTATGGAATGTCAGCCAAAATCAAGTCAAATTCAACAGGGAGTGCAGCTCCATTAAAAGAAAGATCTCAGACATTACTGAGTAATGATGTTTGTACAAAGTCATTCTAAGTGTTTCAGTCGTAACAACATTAACACTGTTTGCTAAATAAATACTTTACCAGATCTCTGGAAACATTAATCCAGAGTACAAAAAACATGCACCACAGATAAATCAAAGTCTGTTTCCTTTTGTTTGATTTTATTAGATTTTTCAAGATCTACTCAAACCACCTTAAAACTCACATATCCCATACCTCCCAGAGGGAGAAAACAGGTGAACAGCTGGAAATTAAAGAATGGTACAGTTTGACCCCAATCAGGTTTACATGCACACTATGCAACCTGAGCCTAAGTGACTGGTATGGTTACCAAGTATGGTTATGAAGCACTGAGCAGAACTGATGCCACAGAAACATCAATAAAACAAATAGTGCACCATGAAAAGTGGAAACATAAAGCTAATTTGATTGGGTTTTTTTTTGTAACATAGTTTGGTTGAAAGATTTGGGGCATTTATCCATAAGATTAAATAGTTAAGATTTTCTGTGCACAGATAGTCCCTCATTCACTGAATAATTTGAGATGCTACCTGTGACATCTTCAGCATTTGATGAACACCCCTATAGATTTGTCAGGGGTTGTATTGGGAATGCTGCCATCACAGCAGTGGAAGAACACAATAAAGAGGGGAGCATGCGTGCATATGGATGTGTGCATACATAGATGTGCACACACTTATTTGTCAAATCTTTGTGACGGTTCATATGAAGTCCCCACCATGGCAGAGGAGTCAACAGACGGCCTTGGAGTCATTCTTAGGTGAACCCAAATCTGGCTCAGGAGACAGGTGGTTGTCAGAAAAGTGTTAGTCACTATCCCTCCCTTTAATCTTGCAGGCGGGTGTTAGATAATCAGGGTCCATCTGGTTGCCAGGAATCACACTACGTCCTTTTGTCCTCTTGGATGCATGGGAATTTTCTGAATCCAAAGGAATATACAGGCTCATTGGACTCGCAACAGTCAGGTGTAGAGCAGTTGTTCCCAATTTTTTCCTACTGCCACGCTATTCAATTGAAAACTACCTCCATCTGCTATGTGTCCCGTTACACTTAAAGATTCTCAAATGGGGCCTAAGGCTGCATCCATACAGCCCAAATGGTTGTCTAAAGAATAGAGGAGAGGAGCAGGTACAATACAAAAAAGCACCACCCCAGAGATTTGAAACATCTCTTGGCCAACACCTGGCCCCACCTACCACTTTCCCTCACACCCCTTTCCTTGTCTTAAAATTAAGCAGGTTAAAAAAATGCACAAAACATAAACAAAATTGAACAGACTTGGGCTTCACAAAGAATGACTAGTCAGTATATATAAAGTAATGGCAAGGGTACAGCTATAATTTTCCAAAATTAAACCACCGCCAGTTGTATCATCCACCAGATCTTCATATGAGAACAGCCTCACAGAGAGGTGCATGAACTGTGCAGGCATACGCTGTAATGTCTTCGGAGTTGAAAACATTAAGAACAGACTCATTTACAAAATCAAGTTGAAATTTTTTCTCTACTTTTAAAACAACAAAACTTTTTGAAAGTTGTTTTGCTTTTCTTTTCTTTTTTTTTTTGTGAGATCAGCCCTGTGCTAACATCTGCCAATTCTCCTCTTTTTTTGCTGAGGAAGACTGGCCCTGGGCTGACATCCGTGCCCATCTTCCTCCACTGTATATGGGACACCGCCACAGCATGGCTTGCCAAGCAGTGCGTCAGTGTGCGCCCGGGATCCGAACCGGCGAACCCCGGGCCGCCGCAGCGGAGCGCGCGCACTTACCAGCTTGCGCCACTGGTCCGGCCCGTTTTGCTTTTCTTCATGGAAAAAAACTCTCTTTCCATCATCTCCTATTATCTTCATACTTTAGAGACAAAACACTATTTTGGGTTCAGCTCTTCTTACCTCTATCCATTTCTATGAAACTTCTCCAAAGGTATAAGCCACACAGAGAAATGTCTCCACAGTGGGGAAAAAAGCCACAATGCTGTATTGAAAAAGGAGAGGTCACAACTGCTCAGATGTCAGTAGCAAATAGTCTTTACATTCATACTCGTAAAACCTTTGGGGTTAGCCAGGACTCCACTGCCACCTACTTGTTTCTCATCTTTTAGGAACTTTTTTTTTGTAAAATGCTGCAAATTACGCCATTGTTGTGTCAGGTAAACATGCAGCCGTAACACAAATCTTCACCGTAAGGGCAATAAATGAGGAAAATTACTAGAGGCCAGCCTGCTGTTCAGATGGGGTCTTGGGCTGACACTCCAGGTGAGGGTCAGGTCCAGAAGGCCAAGTTGCCAATTCAGTGAGTCACAGTTCTGACTCAGACTACCAGACTCCCAGGAGACTGAAGGGCAGGACGCCAACACGTCACCCCATTCCTGGGGCTCTAATGCTTACACATGCTATTGAGATCCTCCTTTTTTTAGTTATAAAGGCATTCTGAGCTAAAAATTGAGTTGGTTCAGTTTTAAAAGAGGGGTTTTATTTGGTGAATAGGGAATCCCCAACAAAGGAAACTGAGAGGTTGCTGCAAACTATTTCACTCAGGCTGCAAAAACCCTGAGGAACTACTCTTACTCCTTGAGACAGCATCTCCACCTCCATAGTAGTCACAGTGTTTATTTTGTAGTTTTCCAATGCACTTAGGTAAACTTGCACAAATAATGAAAAATTATTAGTATTTAATTCTCCTCAAGATTCTATGTTTACCACACTGTTCTTAAGACAGATTATAATAAAATCACTTGACAAAAACAATTGGCCAAAAAATGTCTAGCTTGGATTCAGGAGGCTGACAGAAAGTTTTCTTTCTGAACTTAAATAGAAGTTCAATATATAAAATCAATCTTAAAACTCAAACAGAATGTTGAAAACATTTATTAATAGAAAAAAGTTCAAGGCATTCGACAGAATGAAAATGCTCAGTCTTTTCCTATAGATACTTAAAGCTAGTGATCCCAATTTTCATTAGTATTTGCTAAAATCTATGTAGCAGCCTTTAGATTTAGTTATTTGTTCAGGACCAGAGTGAAGCCAAAGCCACAAAAAATAGGAATTAAACTAAACTGTGAGCAACTATTAAAAAAAAAAGACTACATACACATAAAAATAAGATTACACACTTTAATCTGATTGACATGGAGGAAGTAGGGAGGACATGAAAGAAATTTAGTTTTAGCTCTGTTTTGTGCATAACCAGATGCTCCTTTTCCAAAAAGTATACTGAGGTTTCAAAAACCACATTTTATTAGGATACTTCAGGAAAACACACTATGTGTAACACAGGAAATATACTATTTGCAGAACAGGAAAATCACCTTGGAAATAAAAGATTAAAACAAAAGAAAGCACCAGGGTTTGAGCAGTTCTAAGGTGAGTACATCTGCAGAAACAGTGTAAATGCTTTTGACTGGCTGCTATGGAAACATGCAAACGAGGATTGGTCCATATCTTATCATTTTTTAAAACATGTTTCTTTGGAAAAACGGCAATATTGGCTGGGAGTGACTCTGTCCTTTTAGACCCCCAGCTTATTAGCCTGGGTGAGAACAACTTTGAGAACTGGCATGAAAGCCGAGGTCTCGCTGAAGTTGCTGGTGCTGACTATGTGGGTGTGGATGGCCAGGCCTTCTGAGTAGTTTCTCGTTTCAATGCTCCTCGCAATGCTGTGTAAACCACTGATGATTGTTGGTGAAAGCTGAAATAAAGGTGGAACCAAGAGAAAGAACTAAATTACGGGAGAATTTCCCATGAGAACCTCTACAAACATGAAACCTTAATATTTAAAAGGAGCTTGAAATAAACATTATAAGAAAATGTATAAACCATTTAGCATTTCTAGAAATAGTTTCTTGGACCAAGCAACACTTAAGTTATAAAAGAGAACCATTACAAAATCATTTATGTAAGGAAATTATTTATGAATTATACATGTATGATAAGACAGGTATTTTCTTTTAGAAAAGCCAGCTTTCGTCCCCCAAGCTGAAATGCTAACGTCTCTCTCCACTTAAGAGCTTCAATTATTCAATAATTTTAGAGATAGCCTCACACCTTTTAAAAATTTTCCTATGCACATGAAGGAGTTTAAAGATTCTTAATCATGATATCTCAAAGTAAGAGCCCAATTTATTCTAAAACATCATCTACAACAGAGATTCTGAAACTTTTGGTCTACTTCCATTAGTAGGATAACAGCCCTCACCATGTACTCAATTTATCAAATCTTTTTTTTTTTAATTTATTTTTTTCCCCCAAAGCCCCAGTAGATAGTTGTATGTCATAGGTGCACATCCTTCTAGTTGCTGTACGTGGGACGCGGCCTCAGCACGGCCAGAGAAGCGGTGCGTCGGTGCACGCCCGGATCCGAACCCAGGCCGCCAGCAGCAGAGCGCGCGCACTTAACCGCTAAGCCACGGGGCTGGCCCTCAATTTATCAATTGTTAACTGCTTCTTATAATCCTGTCATCTTTTAAAACCATAAGACCTCTAGTGTTTTTCCATGTCATTACTTGGCTCACATGTCCATACTTTTGAGGGAAGACTTTATTTTGGATCAGTCCAAGGACCGCACCACTTCCACTGTTATAGCGACCTTCTTTGGTTTGGTTCTCATGACATAAATGGTTATTATTATTATTTTTTGTGTGTGTGAGGAAGATCAGCCCTGAGCTAACATCCATGCCAATCCTCCTCTTTTTGCTGAGGAAGACCAGCCCTGAGCTAACATCTATTGCCAATCCTCCTCCTTTTTTCCCCCTTTTTCTCCCCAAAGCCCCAGTAGATAGTTGTATGTCATAGTTGCACATCCTTCTAGTTGCTGTATGTGGGACACCGCCCCAGCATGGCCAGACAAGTGGTGCGTCGGTGGGCGCCCGGGATCCAAACCAGGGCTGCCAGTAGCAGAGCGCACGCACTTAACTGCTAAGCCACAGGGCCGGCCCCCGATAAATGGTTATTTTTATCTGATGGGATTGATGTGGGGAATGGGGAAGAGGAATGCTGAAATGCAAAAATATAAAAAAGTCCCAGTTCTTTTTTTCTCTCCTATTCTAGTGCTTTCATTAATAAAATGAAACTATTCTAGAGAGGGACAGAGAGGTGGAGACAAAGGAACAGAAGACACGATGCATTTACTCTTACTGCTAGCTATCTTCATTGCCACAGCACACTAATCTGCTCATCTTGTGGCTACATTTGGCTTTGCCTTTATGTAACAGCTGTTCTAGAAGAAAAGGGTCAGGAGTCTTAGACTATGACAGAGTATAGATTTGGTCTCTGGAAAACAGAATATCTGCCCATTCTTTGATTTCTTGATTCATGGGGACATATAAAACGAACAGAAGGCCAGTCACCTTAGGGCCAATACAAACCAGTTTTTTTTTTTTTTTTTTT